CCCCCCCCCTCGACATGCGTTGCCGCCCGCTGCGCCCGCCGCCCGCTTGCCGAATCAGTTTTGCATCCCAGTATTGTAGTGGCCTCTGGCCCCCTAACAGCCGTGGCGCATGGTTAGAGTAACACTAGCGTTAGCCGCTTGTCGTCCGCTGCATCTCGTCTGGTTTGTGTTCCTGTGCCAGCCGCGCCCTCCAACGCCATCCCCGGAGCCCCCTCCAAAGCAGGTACTCCCCGGCCGGCCTCTGCCCCGGGCCTCCCGCGCTCCGCCCAGCAGGTCGAGGACGCCGCGTCCGCGCCGGCGCCCGGGGACGACCAGGATGCCGACGACGACCTGGACGACCTGACGCAGATCAACTGCACCGTCACGATATTCACCGGCGAGAAGCAGGGGCCGGCGCGCGTCATCGGCGTGCTGTCCGAGTGGATAAACACGTACAGCTTCATGCGGCGTGAGTACCGGGCCAACGGGCCGGGCCGTGTCGGGCTGCCCGACTGGGGTCACCGACGGGGTCACCGACGGGGTCACCGACGGGGTCACCGACGACCCTGGTCTGTTGACCTTTCCGCGCCCTCGCCATCGGATTTACAAGTGTGGGTAATGTTTGTTTTTTGTGGTGACAGAGCCGAGTCTTTTGCTCCTATTTTATTCAACGAGGTGCGCGACGAGTATTTCTAGCAGTGTACTTGTGCATGGCATGCAGTAATGTGCAGTGCAAACTTTGGACTCACACAATACGTTTTGTTTGTTGGGCTTTTGTTAACCTACTCTTCGTAGCGCCGTGGCGTACAGCTCTGCTGCATCGCATTTTTGATTCGCCACGAAGTAGAAGTAGTAGTTTTAAAACTTTTGCGAGTATACATCCCATGGTAATTTTTCATCTCAACTTTAACTACGGTTGTTTTGTTTTTATAGTAGCATTTTAATCCTGATATGGTGTAGAAGGTGTAGAAGCGTCCATGAATGTTGGAATGTGGTCAACCCGTGGTGATACCATACCATCCTCGTCCTGATCCGCCGGGTGGCTGATGGCCCTGTCCCTCGTGCAGGGTTGCCTCCTCGCTCGTCCCACGGACCTCTCCCCCCTGTCGACGAGCGAGTAGGCAACCCGGCGCCGCCACGTCCGGCACGTCTTCACGAGTGGGCGAGCCATCGGCCAGCGGGCGTAGCCGGGGCCGTGTGTGTCCTGCCAGGCCGCTAACGCTGACTGTGATCTCCCCGCAGAGAACCAGGAGAAGCTGTACCTGTACCTGACGCTGTCCGTGTCGGGCGGGCTGCTGCTGTTCCTCGTGCTGGTGGTGGGCCGCCTGCTTGTGCAGCGCCACCGCTCCCGCTCCGAGGCCAAGTTCCGCGCCGCTAACGCCGCCCCGGACCGCCTCCCCAACGGCTTCGCGGACGACATCAGCGAGATCGACGCCGACATCGACCTGACGACGCCCGTGGCGGTGCCCGTCGTGGCCGTGCACTCGCCGCCGCGGCACGAGCCCGCCGAGGTATGCTGTCGGCGTGCAGTAGCGCCGCCGTGGGGCGCGGCTGTCGCGGCGAGGGGTAGCGCCGCTCGCAATGCGTTCACACAGTTCACACCACCCCCGCACTTGTCTGCGCAGGTCGTGAGATACGGCGGCACGCTGCGGCGCGGCGCGGGCGGCGTCCTCGGGGGCGGGCTCCCCGCCGACCTGCTGGAGGCACCCCGCAGCCTAAACCGCGGTGGCGGCCCCAACCAGCAGTACTACTACGGGTGACCCGAGCTGCCGGCGGGGCTGGGCCCGGCGCCGGGCCTCCTCGCCGCCCTGGGCGCAGTGCCGCCCGCGCCCACGCCCGTCCCGCCGGCCAACGGCTCCCCCTGCCCGTCGCCGTCCTCGTGTCCGCCCGCGAGGACCTACTGCTTCTAGCGATTCGCCTGCGCCGCCGGGCGCGGCGGCGGCCGCGGTGGTGGCGCAGGCGACCTGGACATGGACGCGTACATGCTGGAGGACTCGCAGGTGCGGCGCACCCGCGGTGGCGGGCTGATGTTGCCCGGAGACGCGGAGGCCGAGCCCTTGGACGTGGACGTCCTGGCCGCGGCCTTGCGGCCACCGCCGCCGCCAGGCCGCGTCGCCCCCGCCGAACCGGCGACCGGCACCCTGACCCGCAGTGGCGCCAAGCGCAGGGTCACCTTTTCCTCGGACCCACCCGACGTGTCCGTCGTGCCCAGCGTCCCGGATGTGGCCCTGGAGCTGGAGCTGGACGAGCTGTGCGTCAAGCTCTAAGGGCGAGCCGCAGCGTCCACGCCGGGTAGGGTAGAAGTCCTCCGTCCGCTCTAGTCAAAGTGCGTCCCAGAGTCCCAGAACAGAATAACACAAACACTTACGTCAAGACTCTCTTCGCGAATATGGCTAAATTAATTTAGTGGTTAAGGCAAAGCCTTTTCAAAATGTTTGTATTTTTTGTAAATTAAG